TTTTAGGTAATAGGAGCACAATATCCACAAATAAGAGTGATTTTTGGATCCATATGTGGGACAGGAACTTACCTGGGTTTGTTACTGTGTATATTGCAGTTAATGGCTGAAAGAACAAACTCATAGAATCATAGAATGTTTTTTGTTAGAAGGGACCTTGAAGATCATTAAGTGTCCTTGAAAGGAATGTGTACTATTTCAGAGGGCTGTTAGTGACTACTCTTAATACATATATCTGTAGTGACAGAAAACTGTCGTACAGGATTTATTCTGATCTCCTCCAAAACAGTCCATCCATTTTGTTCATTTTCAGAAAGGACTTGAAATTATGTTAAAATGGAATCTTTGCTTATTCGTTGCTCCTCTATCTGTTCTGCACTGTCTTATGTAGAAAGGCAAGCTATCGTGGCCTCTTTCTTTTTGTAACAACCACAGGGACCAGCTCCATTTTGTGGCCACTTCAGAAGTAAAACAACTTCTAGTATGGCCATCGACAGTTGCCAGGATCTCTGGGTTGCAGCATCTGCACAACCTCCCTTTTAAAACAGAACATTTGTTTTTAAGTTGACTTCTACGTTCCTTCAGTAACTTGGGTTTTTAGCTAAGTCTTTATATTCAGATAGTCTGTTTCTCTTTTGTACGTTAAACTTCATTATGGGATTTTCCTTCCCTCACAGTAGATGCTTTTGTGGTTAAAGTACAGTAGTGGATTTCAGGAAATGAAGAGTTCAGTTTCTGGTTGAACCACAAATTTCCTGTGTGATTGCTTACTATCTCTGCCTTGGTTCTCCGCAGATGTAGTGATGATGTCTTATAACTTTGCAAGTTAGCAGGTCCCATCTTGATCATTTAATCTGATGCTCTGCATAATGGAAATTAAAAAAAAAAAAAAATTGCTTGCAGAAATTACAGGCTTTGCTTCTGCTGGAACATCTTGGAAGGATTAACCTGCCTTGATTTTGTTCAAGAATCCATTTTCCCTAGTGAAATATTCTCACCATTAAGAGTCTTCAGAGTTTTGGGTTTGTTTCAGTTTTGTTTTGTTTTGGGGTTTTATTAATTCTTACTTTGAGTTTTACCTAGAAGTTTTCTCTTTTTCCCAGAAGTAAAGACTTGGTGAAGTAAAATTCTTAGACTAGCCAAGGAATTTCTTCGTAGTTATCCCTGGCTAAATTTAAAGGGGTCCCTTAGTCAGTCAACCTGAGCATTCAACATAGCTCATTCGTTGGGTTAAGACACTAAACGGTTGGATTCACTGTGTGTGCATGCATCAGCTGTACTGTGCATGCAGAATAGAATCATAGAATCATAGAATCATAGAATCGTTTGTGTTAGAAGGCACCTTAAAGACCATCTAGTTCCACCCCCCCTGCCATGGGCAGGGACACCTTGCACTAGACCAGGTTGCTCAAAGCCGCATCCAGCCTGGCCTTGAACACTTCCAGGGATGGGGCATCCACAGCTTCTCTGGGCAACCTGTTCCAGTGCCTCACCACCCTCTATGTGAATGTGTCCTATTCACATTTAACTTGAATATACTGAATTTGGACAAAGGGGAGGCATAAAGCAACTAAGATCCACCTGTGACTGTAGAAAAAAGTTGGGCTGTCTTCTCATTACTGTATGAGGCAAGAGAAGTACAGTTATATCGCAATATCACATTCTGGAGTTGGTCATGGCAAAAATTTCAGCATTATTTTAATTATTAAAAATTATGTCAGCAAACATGGAAGCTGAAAATGCTTTAGTTTGTAAGAAATTGAGCTGTTGGGACCATGTTTTCAGAATACCTTTATTATAAGGGTTTATTCCTACTTGCTTCCAGGGTTACATTGTCAGGACTGGGTTTCTACAGTTTAATGCAGTGTCATTTTACTTCCTAGAAATAGTTTGGGAAAACTCTGCTTTTAATAGGGCTTGAAGTGGTTGCTTGTTGCCCTAAGGTTTTACTGCAGTCATGTGTAGCATAGCATGTGTCTTGAGCCAAAACCAGTTAGTATGGTACAAACTTTTGCCAATGTGTTTTCAGAGAAGCAGGCCAGTAGAAGCAAGCTGCTAACCACAAACTGAATACCCTTTCTGTGATGAGTTCTTTAGGCCTCTTATATTCATTCTGGATTTTTGTTCTGAACCCTTTTCACTGTTCTGTTTTGGCAGTCATAGCTACATGCAGTCAGTTTTGTCAAGATAAAAGCATGGTTACTGTTACCTCTTATTTTTGCTTAATATTTTGCGCCAGCATATATATCTAAATATTACAATTCTGTTTCCACAAGGAAGTGCCACTGAGAGCTCATGTTCAGGTGGACTCAACGCCCTCCCAGTCACGCTGATGGAAGGCTAATCTGAGCACTCCTCAGTCCTCTTCAGTCATTAGTTTAAAATGCAGAAGAAATGGCACGTGTTTCAATCTTACTGACTTTGCTTTAAGCAGGTTAAGGACTACCTTGCAGCTCTGACAATGCGAGGAATCACATCGACTCCACACTCGAGGCTCTGCAACTAGCATGGGTGGGGAGGTGTGTGTATGTGTGATTGGTTGGTTGGTTGGTTGGCTTTTAAGTCATTTTTCTGAGATTTTACTTTAATGCAGTTAGTAGTCTGCTATTTACTGAAGCTTCATTTGATTCTGTTAAAATGGAAGTTGTTCAACTAAGCAGGCAATTCATGGGGTTTTTTTGTGATTGATCTCTCACTGACATTATTTATTATTTCACTGTGCTTTCATCATCACAAAAGTTGTCTTAAACCATATTTTCTTTCACATCACTTAACTGCTTATAAAGCTATAGAACAAGACAAGGTTGCAACAGAGTGATCCCTTTAATATTCAGCTAGAAATACCTGTTAAATTTAACAATTTGCTGTGTGTGGGCTGTTCTGATTTTCCTCATCTCCCCTATGAAATACTCATTTATCAGAATGATAAGGAAGACAAAGCCAGATGCATTCATTACAGAAATCCCCTCTGTCACCACAATTATTTTGGCAGCCCAAATAATGACCCCATTTAAAGAAAGTGTGGAGGCTGGGAGCAGCCTGTGTTCTCTAAAAGTGACTAGAGTGATGCTAATTATATACCTGTCTGCTATTTTCTTATATGTTAATGACCACAGAGACCTCATCGGCCATTTGTTTCTCAGTATTCCTGGATAACTAGTTATAACTTTCATTCTCTCCCTTGTTTTCATGTTCTTAAATAGCACTTCTCTTCCAATTATGTTATTTTCGGAACACAGTCAGTACTAGGCTGCTAATGTTCTGCAGTGTAGTGATAGTTCAAGGCATGTCTGCTAAGTTCTAGTAATTGCTTAATTTGTTAAAAAAAAAATCTACCTTAGTCATCTTAAATTTCCTTCAAAATGCAGCCCCATTTACACCTTAACTTAGTCATGAAAATAAGTGCAGAAATGGTATGGTATTCTGCTCTAATTCCACCCTGCACTGATTGCTGTATCATTTCTCACAGTATGTAGGTGCCTTCTAAGGGCATGTTAAGATACGTTGTGTATTCTTTTTTCCTCTGCATTTAGGAAAATAATTACTTGTCTGTGCAGGATATTGAGTGGTTGCTAGAGGTGGCAAAGTGAGGAAGAGAGTACCTTGCATCACACTGGAGGTTGGTGAAGCTTATGATAATGCTCTATTTCTCATAGTCTGAAGAAATAGAAGTGTGAGAGGCTGCGGAAGTTGTTACTCTATTGTTGCTCCTTCTTTCTTCTCCTTCCCAACAGAATCGACTTGATCTGAACTATTCTGAAAAGTGTTGCCATCAGGATTCATTACAGACAGACCTGTAAAAATTCTCTCTTGTAAAGATAAAGTTTACTTACATGGTAAAAACATTCAGATTCCGGGGGAGGAGAGGGTTGACCTGGTGATTTTAGCCCTGCTTGCGATGCTTTTTAACCTTTTTTCTGTCCCAGACTGCTGAAACTGTTAACAAAGGAGTAAAAGTTTAACTTTGTTTGAGAAGACAATACAAAAAGCATAGAAACATGTTTGGGATATTTAAGTAACCTTGGTGATGCAGAGAAAAAGGCATTCCCAATGTAGGGTTGTAAGATGAAAGGACTAGTAAAATCTTAAAAATATGACCTTAAGCCAGACACTCAGGATTCACTTGAAAAACTGAAGTGTGCATATCTGAAGTTCTGGGTTGTTGTTTTTTTTTTTAAATTCTCAATGTTACTTTCCTGCTATACCCCTCTGCCCTTTCCCCCTCAGCTGTTATTTTCCCCTCTTATTCTTTCCTATCCTCCACTTTTCACCCCCCACCCCCCGCCAAGTTGCCCCTCCCCACTTCTCTGTGTCCCCTTTTGCATTCATCCATGTCCTTGAATTCAGTAGAGAAACCATATTCATTAGATAAGTTTAATAAAATGTCATCCCTTGTTAAGTTAGTATGATCAACTGAACTGCAGAATCTGCAACTTCATACAGCTGAGAGACGAGTAATTAGTTACTCATACCTGGGAATATTTTTCACTATAGTGTTAAGGAAGCCACAACAATTTTTGTTTGAATAGGTTGTCCCCTCTGCAGGCATAGAGGCACTTTGGATATGAGTATATATATATTAATATATATCATGTATATACGCAGTACATCTTTATACCTACACCCACACAGAGGCCCACGCAATGTCACACGTATATGTCTTTTGCTGCCAGGAAACTTCACATTGTTTCTGTGCTTCTAGATAAGGCTCTAAATTACCAGTGGTACCGGCTGTGCATAAATTTAAAGATAATGGGAAACGGTAATAGCAAGCTGCCACATAAATAAATAGTTGAAAGTGAAAGGAGGAAGGTAGATTGAGCAAGCAGTTCATGAGAAAGTATTCATTTCCAAAATGCAGCACAGAAAGAAGAAAACTAGACGGAGACTGAATCTTAGACCTTTACTCTGTACATTAAGTTTAATGGTTCTATCAACGGCTTCATATGACAGGAAATGATCTGGGCGTTTTGTTCACTTATTCTGGATGCCCTTAGTTTCAGAGAGCAACTGGTAACATGGATTGCACCTCGGAAGGGGACAGCTGAACTCTCCCTCTGGCTTTAGTGAGGAAAGAGCAGCGATGAAATCCGTGGACTGTGTGCACGTCATCCAACAGAAGGATACCGCCTCCTCTCCCTCTGCCCCCCCTGGTGCTGCTTCGGGCACCGCGGGACTTTTTTCTGTCACATTCCTGTGGCTTGCAATGCTCCTGTCCTCTTGTCTTGCAGCAGTGTCTCTTTACCATGTTATCACTCTGAAAACAGAACTAGAAGCTCTGCGCAGCAAGCTGATCTACAGGGTCCAGGCAAGGTCTCCGCTAGACCGGCCACCCGTGTCCCCTGATGAAAATAAAGCGGGTACCCCTGTTTCTTCCTTCCTGCAGGTGTCTGCAGCTGGCACCAGGCAGGTAAGCTGGAGGGGTGGTTTTCGGCTTGCAGGGGATGAGCAAAGGCGAGACTGCTTTCACCGACTGTCGTTTCTCCCCGTTAGGAGAACAGGCTTCCTGGTCCTGGCGCAGCTGAAAGCTTCCACAGGGAAATCTGGAACGAGAGCAGAAACAGGGGGAGACGGTCTGTTGTCCACACAGAAGAAACAGGTAAATAGCACCTGGTGGAGTGGGTCAGGATGCCACAGTTGGATACTGTCTTGGGCAAAGCAGACTCATATCTTCTCCTGTCAGCTCATCCCTTCAGCATTTTTACAATTATTGCTGAATGGATGGTGTTGACTGCAGGTGTGTTCTCTTCATGGTTCCCATACTGTTTAAGGTACCATATACTCATGCTATCTGCAAGCTGAACTTTGAATGTTAGATCCCGAATCTGCTTCTTGTAACAAAGGTATTTCTCGATGATGAGGTAGAGTTGGGTAAGGCAACTTTGGGTTCTTCAGACTGTAAATTGCTTAATACAAAATCCATCATTCTCGGTTCAGGGTAATGTCTCACTTGTTTCTCTCTGATCAATATTAGGGAGGGAAAGCTATTATTAAAAATGCTAAGTCATTTTGCTGGGAAAACATGCTCATCCTAAAAGAGAGAAGTAACAAGAAAGCTTCTTAACTTAAGGGAAGTAGGAGCTTTCAAAGAGAAAGGCTGGTTTGTACCTGTCAAAAGTGGCAGACTACAAGGAATTCAGAGGTTTAGTGTCATTTCTGCATTAAAAAAATCCTTTGATCTACTTAGCAAAATCAATAAAGGCATGCCTATCTAATAAGATTTTTTTTTTTATCATGGCCTTTTTAAAAGGTGCTGCAGAGAACACTTAAGGCTGTGCTCCGTGAAAGACATCTGATGTCATTATAATGTTGGAATATCAATGGGATAATTTGTTTCATTCGGGGATAAAATGCCTAATTTGTTATTATTTTCTTTTTCCAAACACAATTATGCCTGATATGATGAAATACATAATTTTATTATAAAAGTTTACATGCATACTCTAATTACACCAATTAACTAAAAATGTTCCGGAGTTGCTAAAATGGTTCAATCCTCCTATGAAAATTTCTAGATTATTTTCACCAGTGAAAGCTGGTGTCTTAAATTATTAATACGTCAAGTTAAAATGTAGTAATTTGTAGGTGAAGACTAACTCAGACTTTGCTTAAAATGTGCTTTTGATTGACTAATTAATGTGAAACATATTTCTTTTAAGCTTCAGCAAGCAAAATAAAATTTCAGTTGTAGAGTATAATCACTCTACTTACCTCCAAGCCTCTCAAAAGAGTATGCATTTAGGACATCACCCAAAATCTGTAGATTTAAATGGGGTTTATTCTATTTCATTAGTAAGCTTTGGTTCAGAGTCTTGGATAAGAGTGATTTCACAAGAAAGACTGAGGACAAGATTGCTTAAATTGTATTTCTTGTAGCCTGTTTCCTATTCACAGGAGCCACAAAGTTTCTCTGCTCTCCCCACCCTAGCACCTCCCAAACAAAAACTGTTCATCTTTTATACCTAAATCACAAATATCTTAAAAAATAAGGAGGCATGTCTTTTTTTGAAATGAATGTTATAGCATCAGTAGTTTGCAAGTTACTCAGCTCCCTTCACAGTAGCTTTCATCTTTATTCTTATTGCGATCTGAGGGTGTATGTGGGATAGGAGGTTTTGGGGCTCCTCAGCTGTGCTGCTGGCAGACATGAGATTCTTCTCATCAGGTGAACCTTTGATTATCTATATATAACCTTTGATTATACCTATTTATCTTTCTTCACACAAAATTCCAATTAAGCTACTTATTTCTGTGTGCTTTTTTCTAAAGATACAGCTGGCTTTAAAATGGTTTAGGCCAGATAACAGAAAGCACAGTATATGAACACATTTAAAAGGGAAAAGCTGCATAGGTTGACATACTACAAAAGTGCTTCCTAAAGTAATTTTTTTGTATATAAAAAAGAAAAAAAGTAAAATACAAATCTTGCATTTGTATAACAGGTCATCTGATAGACCATGTTACCTTTCTGCTTGCTCTAATTACAAGAAATTAAACTTGTCAGAGTTCAGCAAGATGTTAGGTCTGTCAGATCAGACTTTACTGATGACCATGAACCTACTAACCAACGTTAAATTTTAGCTTAGCAGGGTGAGTGAAATAAAAGGACGTGGTGTTGTTCATGGTGCTGAATCCTGTCAGTTACTTGGTCAGGTACACACAATTACTAGCCCTGCCTTCCGATCTTCTCGCATCTGTTTCTGAGTACTGGAATCCAGGCAGCCCCCAAACCACCCTGCAGATGCACTGCACTTATTCTGGTGCAAATGCAGATAAATTAAGGTATTGAGTGAGGTGCCTTGTTCTTGTCCTATTTCTGTTTGCTTCGACAAGGTCTCACAGTAGAGTCTGTTCTCATCATTAATTGCTGACCCATAATTTTACTTTAACATGGACCAATTCCTTAGACAGTGAATACCTGAAAATAGTCACTGGTATAGAATTGCTACTCAGCAGAAGTAAACAAAATAATGGTTCTGGATCTTATAAATAAAGTTGTGTCTTGATTCTGCTTTCTTTTTAAACTTTAATTATTATTTTCCAGAAATGGATGCCCTGGGCTTCTTTTTAGGCCCAGCACAGTCCTTCTTAAACACATGACAATTCCTTTTTTTTTTTTTCTGTTGGTTTGATGTTGTGTGCATAAAACTGACCGCGAATTAGAATTTTAATTTAAATGACAACTGAAAGAAAATGGATCTAACATAATGTTGTCCTTTCATATTTTTATGGGGTATGCATTTTTCTGTGTTCATGCATAAAACTTAGTCATCGGTAGTTATATGTACATTTTGTGTCTTGAGAAAATTTCCAGCTCAAGTAAGTTGAAGAGATGAGTTTCAGGCATCAATTCCAAATACAGCTGTATGGTTAGCAGTCAAAACCAGAGTTCTTGATACAGTGAATAGGAGTTAATGAGTGGTTTTAAACGGTACATATTATTAATACGCCAGCAGCTAGATCATCTAACCCATTTGGGCAAATGTCATATCAGGACATATAAGAAGAGATTTTTTTTAATTTGTCTTTCTTTTTATAAGTTTTGCCTGTAGAGGAAATTGCTACCCAGCAAAAATCTCTCCTGAATTTTATACCTTGGTCACAAAAATTGGTTGCCTTGCATGCATGTTTCCCTCTAAGATGTATGTGTGCTTGAGTCCAGGAACAAGATACAAGTTCCATTATGTAAGGCAGTTCAATGTACAAATGTCAGGTTTCATTTACATGTTCTCTGTGCCTCGTTCTGATTGTTATTGGGGGATTCTGATTCCCATGGTCAACTAGGGAGGGAGCATCAGGCCTTCTGTAAACTCAGATTCAGGCAATGTTCTGCTGCAATCAGATTGGAGCACCCATGGACTATATTTATTTTGGTGTATTGAAGTTATCCATCTCTCCATTGCATGTATGGAGGGAACTCAGGAGAAATTCCAAGTAATTCCACAAAGGAGTGGAACAGGCTAACCAGCCATGTGACCTGGCAAAGTTGGTTTTTTTTTTTTCACTAGTGGTTCCCAGGTTCTACCCCAATACCACTTGTGTCCATGAGAAATAACTATTACCATGCAAGCGTGTAAGTTGTAAGAATTTTACCATTGTTCTTGGTATAATTGTCTTACTGGCAAATTGGTACATTTACTGGTTAGAAGTGTTTTGACTCTGCGTGGTGTTGGTTTAGATCTCGGTGACAGAGGGGATACCGAGAACTTTTACAAGTGAAACTTGACTTCAGCGATCTTTGAATGAAGAAACCTGACCTTTTGTTACTAGTCTAAACAAATGCCACATATAAAATTCCCTCACCACATATTCAAAATACTTCTTATTTTATTATCTGAAGAGGGGAAATATGAGTTCCTTTAATTAAAAAAATAAAAAAAGGCGTACTTCTTGTAAAGATATGTTATTCTTTTTTGTTTCTGCTGACAACAGGCTCTCTCAAAAGGAAGTAGGCCCTGCTGTGCGAAAGGGTAGAAAATTACTTGATACAATGCTTGCAATTTTACGTGAACAATTCCACTTAATGAATGAATGAACATTACATATTATGCAGAACATTGTGCAATCAAAAATAAGCTCTACTTATTACAAACAATATTCTGCTTTATACTGTATAATAGTCTACATATAGTATTTTTAATTATTATTAAATTATTTCCTTGTTATTCTGATTGTAACATGTTACTGATAATTCTGTTAAGGTCAAATAATGCTGCCAATACCTTGAAGATATTTACTAGATCTGAGTAATATCTGTAATTATGACCAAGCCATTTTAATGCAGGGACCGATTTAATCCATTATTAATGTCATATAAAGACTTCTTAATTTAAAAGCACCAAATTAACCAGTCTCTAAAAAAGCACAAGCAAAAAATAAAAGATCTCTTTTGATGAGAAATGAAGATGGTAAAGGAAGAAGAACTGCAAATTGTTCAAGAATTTATAAACTGAGTGATCTAGTGTTTAAGTATGTTTCAGGAAGTCTATAGAGAACAGATCTAGACCAAAAAAGGAACCTTAATAAGCAGGTCTGGTTTTTTAAGTTCAGGTTTTTCGCTTGTTTTTATTTCAGCAAAAACTGAGATGTCTCAGGCCTCAGATATCGAAACTTAAAAATTTATGCATGAGTTCACAGATAGCAAACTTGAAATTTTGTTTGGATGGATTATGGAGTTAGACTGCAAAATATTAAAATGATAATGCAAGTGAAATAATACAGAAGATAGCATGGGAGGGCAAATTTCACTTTACCAACTACTATCAGGTCTTAAATCATGCAGATACGCAGAAGGCTGTGTTCCTATCCTGCTGCAAAAGTTAGCTTCTTTCTTTTTTTTTTTTTTAAATTGTGGTTACATTGCTCAACCGGTGGAGAACACATCCCTTCATGTGCTGGCTGTGGTTTATAGAGGCATCTGGAGTCACTAACTTCTTCAGAATTGGCTGTTCTGTTCATGGAATTCTGAAATGTTCTCCCCGCCCACATCCCACAGAGTGGTTAAAATCAGGGAAAAAAAAATAAAGTGCTCATCATAGAAAAGCTATTATATGAAGTCTCAAGACGATGAGGCACACTTTGTTGTTCTAGATACAGTTTTATACAGGTAGACCTCATGGTGACACACAGTCTATATATTTTTACACATCTTTAAGACATGTTTTACAAATCCTGTGTTCTCCTTGCATTATTAATTATACAGCAATGCACTAGACTACAAACCTGATGCTCAGGTTTGATTTACACTGGGCTTAAGGGCATTCAGGTAGAGCTTTTGATTTATTCTGCTCACTACTGATAGTGACTATTCAACCTGCATTTTGTAATGTATGCATTCTTGATACTATACTGCTGGCAAAATTTGGGTCTTTCTTGGAATAGAATTGCTAACATTTCTTAACAATGTTAACTTTTAATTTAAAAAAACCTTATAATTTACCCAGAAAATATACTCTGTATATCCCTATCTTCTCCTTAATAGCCGTGTTGTTTGCTCTGAATTTGTTTCAATGGATTACTTAATTTTAAGCTTGTAAGTAGTTCCACTGAAGTCAAAGTGAAGTGCTTGTATATACTGGAAATAGTTATGTGTCAGCCTTGGCTTCTGAAAATTTTTGTGAAGCATTTTGTTGTTCAAACCCTCAAACACTTTTTTAGACATTATTTGTCCTTTGCGGCTTTAGGTAAAACGATCTAATGTGCTAATTTCTGTTCTCTTCACTGTCATGAATGATACTGCTGTATCCATATTTATCCATGAAGAGCAAGCTTATTGTATTCTGTGGAGCCTTATTTCTATCTGCACACTGTATAAAAAGAAACAGGGTTTTTTTAGAGAATATATGTAGATTTGATATGTGTAGAATTAAGGAGAGTTGGTTTGTGTTTTAAAAAGATGGAAAAGATCTCCAACTGTACTGAACTTGATGATTTTAGTTACCATGTAGCATTTCTCAGCAATAATGATGACTAGTATTTCAATGCTGTAAACTACTGAAACATAAATCCGGACTTCCAAACTGTGAATCGAAATGGTTTCAAGAATGTCAATCAAGTGTGCAGAGCAGGTTTAACAGGAGTTGCTAAAGTGACCGTAACTTTCACTGCTTGTGGACACTACTCTATGGTACCCAGCTGGTTAGTGTGAATCATAACAAATCTTTTCTTGCTTGGTTAGTGGAAAGTCCAGTGGCCACATTAGTAGGATCTTTTAAAAGCAGGAATTAAAGTTTTGATTTAGCTTACTGAAATACTGGGAAATCAGCAATTTCCATTCACTAGGAAGACACTTTGTTCCAAAGGAGAGTGAATGTGAAATAAATTGCCTGATGTGCTTTGTTGTGTGACTCCAGAAAATCACATTTTGATTTTATTTGGAAGCTGCTTTTTCAGAAAATTCTGTCACTCCCAAGTAGGATACAAAAGTTACTCCAGTATAATAACTTCTTTGATTTCACGTTGGCTTGGTTTTTCTATTCATTATCAGAAGGCAAGGATTTTAGTTGCCTTTAAATTCTTGGCTTGGAAATCTATGGATTTTTATCGCATTATTGATGAGTATGGCTATAACTCAAGAACACGTTCCAGTGTCGGAGATGGGAACTTTCAGGATAGCACTGCTGCTAACGTAAGTAGGGCTCATGGGTTGTGTGGTCCTTGTGACACTGGAACATTCCCAGACCTGTGCTTGAATCTTTGTCCACTGCCAGTTGGCACCACTGAGCGCTGATGAGCATCCAGCCCTCTTCTCTTATTTTGTCAGGGCCCCTTGGAAATGAAACTTAGATAAAGAGAGAGGCTGTGTTCTACTCAGATCCTCTCCTGACATCCTCTCCCTACCTGCCGTGCAGGGAGAGGTTTGTGTGCTGGTTGCACACGTGGGTACCACTGGCAGAAGCAGAAACAGGATCCCATGCAGTAGGGCACTTCCCATTATAGCAAGAGTGGCCAAATCTGAGCCACAGCCTTCTTACCTGAAAAATGGTAAACAAAAGTGGAGATTCAGCAATCTACGGCAGAATTTTTCTTCTCTTGACTCCTAGTGAATTCATTTGGTTTCTGGCAAGTGCAGTAACTCTTTCTACTCTGTTTTCTAATCTTCAAAGTAGCACTAGAACCAGATGTTTTCATTAAAATCTGCTCTAAGCAAATGTAATTATTCTTATTTTCTTTTATCCTGTTCCCTGACATTTATGCTTAGCAAATTTTTTACAAGATCTTCGTTCCACTTGCAAGCCTATATTTTAACATACCGCAATGTTTTTTCTCTGATCAAAATCCTGGTTTCTCATTACTGTTCCCAGCCTCTACAGTTTTGAGTAACACATCAGTTTTGACAGACACTAATCTATTTGTTTAGTGTGCATTAATTTGCTAACAGTCATGTCTGTATTTTCCCCCATAGTCTCAGTATAGGTTGATTGAATGTGGGTATCTGAAAACATTCAAAGTACATATATATATATATCTTGATTTTGAGAATTTATTTTGAAAGTACCATGTAACCAGTATATATGACTAATATTTTACAGCAACTATGACTGGAAATTAATTTATTTAAATAATACAGTAAACATAATTACAAAATCTGCGATCTGACAGGGTTCAGGGGTTTTTGAGCATTCGCTTAGAAAATTGACAGGGATAATTGATCTGGTGTTTCCTAGCTCATTTGACTTACTGCTACATTTTAAATTATATTAGGACCAGAGATTGAAACAAGCAAGTATTACTTGTGCTGCTATCTGAGGTCTCCTGCTTAGCTGCATGATCTCTGAAAGTTACCTAGTATGTGATGTGATATGGATTTTGTTTTGGCACATTTGAGTAAGGTCTGGTTTAAAATCAATAGATGTTTTCAAAGAAGTGCTGAGAGAAATAGAAGTTTTTTTTCATGTCCTTCCTTCTTTCTTCTTTTTTTCTTTCCAAGTAGTTTCAAAAGCTTAATCTATTCTATTACTTATTTATACTTCTTTGATTTCAAAATGCTTTCACTTTGCAGTGCTGCAGGCCTGCTTGCAACTGATTGCTGACAGCAAAAGTGATATCCAACAGAAAGGTAAGAATATGTTCCATGATTTATAGCTGACTATTCCATGTGTTAAGTCTTCCATCCAGTTTTATCAAGGATCAAATCAGTAATCAAGTTATATTACCAAATTGAAACAAAATAAAACGAAAAGTCCCTGCATCTGGACAGCTCTTGAAAGTATCCTCTTTTCAGTGGGGAAATCCAGCTAGTGAGGCTGGAAGTCTTGACTAGAAGTCATCTTTGTTAATTTTTGGCAGATGAAAATGAAAACTTTTCTTTCTGATTGTCCCAAAATTACTGTTTCTTTTAGATGATTCAAGCATTGTCCCTTGGCTTCTGAGCTTTAAACGTGGAACTGCACTGGAAGAACAAGGAAATAAAATAGTGATCAAAGAAACAGGGTATTTTTTCATATATGGCCAGGTGAGAAAGCTCAATTCACTTCTGACTTTTAAAAGGATTTTTAATGTCTCCATACAATATTTTTGAACACTGCACCTCTTCATTCTGTAGGTTTTATATACGGATACGACATTTGCTATGGGACACCTAATACAGAGGAAGAAGGCCCACGTGTTTGGTGATGATCTCAGCTTGGTGACATTGTTTCGTTGCATCCAAAATATGCCACAGTCTTATCCAAATAATTCTTGCTATACTGCTGGTAAACATCTAAGTTTTCCTTTTCTTTGTTGGTAAATAAACTGTATCAAATAGAATGTGTAGCGTTGGGTGATTAAGTATTGTGACAGTTGTAAAGAAAATGGACAGCATTCATGGGTCTGGTTATTGCAAAATTACGGAATACTGCCAAAAATCATGTTTTTATGTAAAGCATTGGCAGTTGGAGGGTGTGCCCTCTAACTTAGTTGGTCTGAACAATTCCCCTCCCTCCACTGGCTATATAACTTGGTTAGATACTTCGGTGCTTTCAGTTAGATGCCTAAAGCAGCCAAAAGGAATACATATTGTCCTTATTGAAGAACTCAGTTTAGCTTTGGTGTTGAATTCTACATTTAGTTGTCCCAATAAAATATTTAGGAGCTATGTTCTGCTTTAAAACATCATATATGAGTTTTAGCCACCCAATTTTTTCCATAACTTACTGTGGGGTTTTGCAAAGTTGTTTCTTATCAGGTTCATTCTTTACTCCTTATGATGGCTACTGCAGTTTTGTTCTTTGGTTAGATAAAAAATAGTTAAGCCCTATAAGGAGATCTTTCTGACTGCACAAATTAAAAAAAAAAAACACAGGAAAGACCAATTATAATATTTAATGCAAGTCCATCAGTGTCAATGATCAATATATATGTATATTCCTGCAGTAGCATTTAAGGAATTATTGTCAAGGCCTATTAAACCTTGTTCAGTAGCTCTTATCTGCCTGTCTTTCTCCCTTAATGGTGGATTTGAGGGTTTTCTCTTTTGTCATTTTCAAGCAAGAGCTGTGTAAATAAAAAGTATCTTTTTTTTCAATGCCTTGTAAAAAATGGGTGACATTGAGTGATCGAGTTGACTGTTGGCAAGTAATGGCATTAAACAAATGGGATGGGGAAGGAAGCTAATTTTTTTTTCCAAATAAAAATAAATTAGCTACTTCCTCCTGGCAACTGAGGTTGTCCAAACATTTTCTTTAACTTTCTACTCCTCCACCTGCATATTCTGGCATCATAACCACCTTCAATTTCATCTACCCTCTTACCTCACCCTTGTATTACTCCCTCGCATTTCCTTAACTGGGATCTCTACTCCAGCTGGATAATTTACAGTTCCTGCTTTCCAAATTCACACCCTTCTGCTTTCACCTGGAAAACTAAATCTCACTGCACTATCTCATGCTGTAGAGCATGTGTTGCAGCAGATGTTAGTTGTGCTCTCAGCTCGGTGACTGCAACTTGAAGGCGAGGTGCTTTTGGTTATCATGTCAGCTGATGCGCGGCTGGCAGGAAGCAGACTTCTGTGCTCTGCAGTTGCAGTGGGTCAGCTGATGTCTGGTAACTTCACTTGGTTAGTAAAGCTCATGAGACCTCCACCAGAAGTGTGGGAACAGAGTGGTCTAGGACCAGCAGTACCCAATGCTGACCTTGACTGTTGTGAGGAATAACGTGAGGAATCTGGGTAAACCACCGTTGACGAGTTTTTGCAACGTTTGCTGAAGGGAACCGTGATATGCTGAGTGCAGAGTGGAAAGTAGGTCTAGTTCCACGGAGGATGTTAAGTGTCAGCTTTGGGTAGGCTGCAGTTTATAAGATTATGCCTGAAGATAGAAAAGCACTCATCACAAGTAACAAGCCATGCTGATATTTGTAAGATGATGTGTAATGACATTTTGTATACCATTTATGAAAATAATGATGTATTTGAAGTATTAACTTAAAAATATTCCACATCTTTTGCCAGGCATTGCAAAATTAGAAGAAGGGGATGAACTTCAACTTACAATACCACGGAGAAGGGCCAAAATATCCTTGGATGGGGATGGTACTTTTTTTGGTGCAGTTAGACTTCTCTGAAGCCCTTCATTTCTGTTGTTATGCTTAATGCCATTTTCTTCTTTTCCTACACCTTTGTCAGAAAAAATATTGAATTGTAATAAAGCTGCCAGTTCAATTCTCTCCATCCATCACCTAGAACTCTTCTTCGGTTTAATAAGCGAACTCAAAACAGGAAACACACCAGACATACTTGTAAGATGTAACCATCATGTGATTACCAGAAAGCCAATTTATTTTAGACAATGGGCGATTCTAAATAACAACTGTAAAGCAATGGATTTTGGCTTTGAAACAATTTCTTGTCCATAAGACAACTCAAAGACTTAGTTGACCATAAACCTAACATAAACAGGACCATTGACTATCAAATTATTGCCCATTATTGAAAAGCAAAACTAAAACACAAGTGCAACTTAGATTTCCTTTGTTTCAACATTAAAATATCTGAGTATAAAGTATGGGGAAGAAACATCAAACAGTAGATTGATCATCACAAACTAGAGGTGTCAGGTGGGCTCTGCTTGGGTTTTTTGGGGTTGTTTGTTTGGTTTTTCTTTGACACCAAGATTTTGAGGAAGTAAAAAGTCTAAATGTATGGGATAACGAAAAAAAAACTCCTCAGAAATATACAGAATAGTACCCACTGACTTGTTTCTTCCATGTGAACAAAAGATGTATAAATTACTATAGTCTGTTAGTATTTACTAATTGGAATTACTTTTACTGGGAAAAGGACATGTAACAGCTCCAACAGCTTCAACGGCTCCATCTTCAAAGCATTGCTACTCATCAAGGAAAGTATGTGTATACTTCTATATAAACAAGGCAGGGATAGAAAGAAACACAAATTAGAATACAGCAGGTGGAATTGGATTTCTGACTTCATAACTTCTGCATCCACATATACAAGTTGTGTATATCTATGCGGCATATATATGTATGTGTATATGTATATATATGAAAGTACGTACACACACATATATAAGCCTTTGACATTTGGGCATAGAATTTTATATTCTTTTGAATAGTTTATCCAGTGGAAATATTGCTGCATACATATTTTTTGTATTTTTCTTGCTTTTTGATATGATCTATGCAATATAGTAAAAAGAAAAATCCAATAAACCTGGAACCAGCTATACAACTAAGGAAATACTTTGATATCCAAGAAATCTGGGCTCAATCCCTAAGTTACGTACAGACTTTTTCTGCAGTTTTGAATATATTGTGCAGCTCTGTAAAAATCAGACCTGTAGAAAGACTGAACACGTCTTTTTTTTTTTTTTTTTTTTTGTCTGTCTGCATTGTTCAGTATATAAAAGTTACACCTTTTTTACCCCAAGAATCCATGTGTAATGCATGGTTGAGGTAGTAGCATGGTAATAGTGTGGTCAAGACTTCTAGGAGCTATTGTAATGCAAGCATTGAATACTTATTTCACTGATCTTCAAAGAAGTATTGAAGTGCTAATGGAATAGATAAAATCATAAAACCCACAGTAATGAGCTGTGCTTCATGTGAAAATATTTTTTAGGGGTTGAGAATTGTGTCATATAAGCTCATTTAGTAAAGAAAAGACACTTTGTATATTACAGTTTCCTTGTCTCTTTTTATAAATCATGCTGATTTGATTGTTTTCTCATGGTGATAGATAATAAATAAAAGAGAAGTGGAGCTAGAAATTACAGACTATGGTCAATTAATGAAGCAATTAATTCAGCTTCTATGGGCTTCAAGAAGACAGTTCAAGAGTAAGTATGTGTGTATTGGATTACCACACTGGGATTTTTATGAAGGCTGGTGTGCTGATAAGGACCTTCAGTCTGCTGTCTCAGTGGAGGTAATGGATGAAAACCCATACAGCAGTAAAGATCCCAGGGTTGTGATGTCTTAGAAACCAAGGAAGAGCCTAAGAATAATCACATAGGAATTAGGGCTTCTCCACAGAAAAAGGTGGCAGGCTCAATAGCCCAACTAAAATGCACCTGCACCAATGCACACAGCATTGGTGGGATGACTGGCACAACTGGAGTGTTACAGTGGCTGGCTATAAACTCTTCAGAAGGGACCGACAAGGAAGGAGAGGTGGTGGGGTAGCCCTGTGTTTTGGCTAATCTTCAAAACTGGAGTGTTTTGATTATGTAGAGGTTAATTATGGTGACAATAGGGTTGAGTGTTTGTGAGTAAGAATCTGGGAGAAGGCCAACAAGGCAGATACCATGGTGGGAGTCTGTTGTAGATCACCCAACCAGGCCAAGGAGGCAGATGAAGTGTCCTGTAAGCAGCTGGGAGAAGTCTCCCAATCACTAGCCCTTGTTCTCATGGGGGACTTCAATTTACCAGAAGTCTCCTGGAAATACAATACAGCATAGAAGAAACAGTCTAGCAGGTTCCTGGAGTGTGTGGAAGATAACTTCCTGACA